AGCATTGTTGTTGATGTTATATCGGCCTATTGGGCTGAAAATAGTGTTGTTAGTGTCAAGATGTTCAAGATTGTTCTGAATTTGTGTAGGGAAGCTAAAAATGAGAAATTGGGCTTGTGGGTGTTGAGGAAAATGAAGGAATTTAATTGTAGGCCCGACACTGTAGCTTACAATGTGGTAATTCGGCTGGTTGTGGAAAAGGGTAGATTAGATGAAGCAATGGGGTTGATGAAAGAGATGGGTTTGATTGATCTTTATCCCGATATGATCACTTATGTTTCGATGATTAAGGGGTTTTGTGATGTAGGCAGGTTGGAAGATGCATGCCAATTGATTAAGTCCATGAAGGGGCATGGGTGCGTGCCGAATACAGTTGTTTATTCGGCACTTCTTGATGGGGTTTGTAAGCATGGGAGTTTGGAGAACGCATTGGATATTCTAGGGAAGATGGAAAAAGAAGATGAGGAATGTAGGCCAAATGTTGTAACTTATTCGGCAGTGATAAAGGGTTTTGTTGAGAAAGGGAGAGTGATGGAGGCATTAAGGGTCTTGGATCGAATGGAGGATTCAGGCCTTCAACCTAATAGGGTGACAATTACAGCTTTGATTGATGGGCTATGCAAAGAGGGGTGTGTGGAGGATGTTCGTAAGGTTATTGATAGAGTTTGTGGAGGTAGTGAACAGCATGTTAAGTTCTATGGTTTGCTTGTTGTGTCACTATGTCGAATTGGCAAAACAAAAGAAGCAGAAAAGATTTTTGGGATGATGATAATTAGTGGGATGAAGCCTAATGATTTGGTTTTGAGTTCTATCATAAAAGCTATAGTCTTGGAGGGACGTGCGCTAGATGGATTTGGTTTGTTTGATTCACTTGAAAATTCTGGACATTTTCCTGCCACTGATTCTGAAATTTACTCAATCATATTGGCTGGACTTTGCGAAAAAAGCCATTTGGTGGAAGCTGCAAAGCTTGCTAATCTGATGGTCGAGAGAAGAATTAAGCTTAAGCCTCCTTATGTTCAAAATATAGTCGAATACCTTAAGAATTATGGAGAAGAAGATTTAGCTTCCCGTATCGGTAGTATTGACAGATTATTATGAGCCATCACTTGTTCTGAATGTGGAGATTGCTATTCGCTAATTGAGATGAATGCCTTTCCTTCGGTTGGTAATTTCTTGATTTGAGAAATAGAAAGATGCTACTGGCTCCTCCATTCAGTTTCTTGATTACTTACAGAGAAGAAAATGATATCATTTACAGTGTAATTATTTAAGTTGTGGAAGAATGGTGAGGATTCCCAATGCAACAGTTGCAGAGTGACAGGTGGCCAAATGAGCAGTCGAAAGATGAGAAATAGAGGAGACTTTCCACTGTATAACATAATTGTTAAGGAGCAATAAACTTGTGTATTAAAGAAAATATATTCTCTATGAGGCTAGCATCTTTTCAAGCTTGAACATCCTTTCGGGCACCTTCAGATGGCAATGGAAATTCTCTTATTTCGAGTATATATCTGACCTTAATTTGCTTATTGAAACTTATATTTACATTTTTGAATTATGGTTCATGGATATGCTTTTTATTTGTACTTGCACAGGTTTCATCACGTCTAGATCATGTCCCGACTCTGCAAAGATTTTGATTTCTGGGTGCCCTTCTGCTGTAAGTGAAGAAAGTTGAAGATGTTAGAGTCAAAAGCTGATGATATGTTCGTATTGTGTAAAATTGCTGAAATTTAATTGAAATAATAAGCATTATCTTCTCCTCTTTTAAAAATATAATCTCACTAACAGTATTCCTGATGAACAAGAGTATTCTATAGTTGTCAGATAATGTGAAAAATCGAGTTGAAGATATATTATTTTTTATGCAATTATATACTTGTTTAACTAGCATTGTTTCGTCTTATTTTACAGAAATAATTCCATTATGCGCATCTTCTATATTATTATGAACTCTTGTTTTCTTTATTTAATACTGTTAGTAGCCTTGTGCGATGCGGAAGCTAGTAAAGGATGAGATACAAAAAATGTCGTAAAATAGGGATTTGGAATCATTGATGTCTGGTAATTTCTCTAAAAGAACATAGAACATATATGACTTCCCTACTACGGTGCTACCTGAATACTTATATAATGAAATATTTACCTGAATACTTGCAATAAAATGTAAAATTCATCGTGGGGTGCTTTTTTGACATTCATAATTTTGATTTCTGCAATCATCCCTGCCTATATGTTGATAATTAAATGGTCGAAATTGAATCTATTATGTAAGAAGAGGTTTAAGACACTGATTTCCTAGAATAGAGATCACATACATATTCTTGCAGCTATTAGAAATTAGTATGGTAATTATTAATTTCTGAAAACTATACTAGAGCATGCCAATACAATTAAGTCGCTAGTACAAAACTTATGGTGTGATTGATGGACTGCAGATATATAGATTCGTAGTCTTGCTTCAAAAGGATCAACCTGATGTGCTTTTGCACAAGATGAAGGTATGATATACAGGTTGAAAAGCTCAAGCTTGAGCTTCCATCAGTGAACATTTTCGTGTACTTAAAAAATGGCTGTTTGAGTTTGAGTTTGTTAGCGTCTGAAGCAACTGTCATCGGACTACCTCGTTCACATTCATTCGTGAAATGAGTTGTACATAGCTTGAATAATGTGTTTGAATTCGTCTTGCAAACGAATCGACTTGCAAATAATTTGGTGTTTGGCTTGGTAAGTTCATGAACAATTACATGTATATATAATTCAGTCGCATACTTCTGTACATTTTTATTAATATTGACTGTCACGATATGGCCATTGAAACAGCCTGCTTATATGTTGCATCCAGGTCCCCAAGGCTCTTATGAACACGAGCCAGCCATGCCCCCAAGAACCCTTCATCTTGGCTTGATTCGTTTGTATTTGTAATTCAGTTCTTTATTAGACTATCGTTGGTTCTTTATGAAAGGCAAACTGAACCGGACGAACATTTGCTGTGTATTGTAGAAGTCGAGGCATGGAAATGCGTGTTTCTCTCATGTCATTGTGAACCCCGGAGCTACCAAATGTATAGACATTCAATCAGTTGAAGTCATGACAAAGCATAAGCATTTTCAAATGGTGCATAAATTAGATAATTTAGATTGCAACATAGACGCTGTTTTTTATGGACTATCAAGTGAAGGCAAAAACCTTAGTGATTGCTAAAATGAATGATACAAAAAAAACCTATGACTGCAAATCATGATCATTAAACATATAATGAATCACTTGCAACAGCAGCATGGTTCTTTGATTGAGTTCTTGAATCTGGAAGAGTATTCTAGGTCAATATGGGTGTCTTTCACTTCTTGAGGAACTCAAATATCATGGCAAAAAAATTTGCCATGCACTGCTCTACCTCGTGTATAGGGGTGGCAAAACAAAATAATGTCAAGACTATGTTTGGCTCTGTTTACATACTGTTAAGTTATTTTTTATCCATATATTTCGAGGGGTCTATAATTTTTATACGTTTATCCGTCGTTCATTTCTTTATATCGTTTATAAAAGCTTTCCTAACTAGATCATAGAAACACAATTTTATCCTTGATCGTGCGCTTCTAAAGAGGCCCGACACTTCTCTCTACCGCACAATTGCATGCAAAAAGAAGGCAATAAAGTTGCTTTTTTTTTAGCAACCACGTGGTCATCATTAGAGGTTTGACCGGTTATGCTTACACATTGGAGTTCGAGCTCCATCAAAAGGTAAATAGTGCATTTTAAAATAGTTAATTGATGAAAAATATGTGGTTAAAAAATAAAGAAATTTTTTGGATTTGTGTCTATTTATTGAAAAATATGTAATTGGAAAGAAAAGAGAAAAAAAAAAGTGTTTTAAAAATAAAGAAATTAGGCCCATGTTCGATTCACATTAAATTTTTTATTTTCATACTTATTTTCAATCTCATATTTTTTAATAAAATAATATTTTTTATCACATCAATAACTCTTCATTCTTTTTCAACCACACACTCTCCATCAATTTATTATTTTTAAATACCTTCTTTCAAAATAATGTGATTCAAACACACCCTATGCTTAATATGCGTGTTTCTTTTTCTCACTTCTTTGAAACCACCACTATCCACATTATTGTTGTGGGGCCCAAGGCAGCATGAGTACACACAACACATGACAATGGGCATATGAATTAGTGTGAGTTGTCGTGATATAGAAAATGATGAAATTAAACAAAAATTGAAATGTTAGGGGGGCAAAATGAAAGGAATTTTGTATGATAGTGTTGGTCCCTCTAGTCCCCCACCCACTTCTTCTCGTCTCTTTGGAGTTTGGAATTGAAATTTATGATGTTCGATATGTTAAATTGAATGATACGTTACATAATTTAAAAATGGAATAGAAAAATATTTATTGTTATGTAGCAAAACGAGTACAATGCATGATAGAAGCATACGAGTTAGTGTGACTTGTAACAGACGAAATTGAACAAAAAAAAAAAAATGATGTATTGAATGAATGGTATGCGATAAAATTGTATTCACCATATTTTTTGACACTAAGTATCGAACAGGGTCTTATGAATTGAGCAATGATGAATGCAATCGAAAACAAATTTCAAATTGTGTGTTTTTTTTTTTTTAATAAATTTGAGGAAAAGATGAAATCGAACAATAATTGAAAAGCTAGGGGCCAAAACGAAAGAAATTTGTATGTTAGTGCTGGTCCTCTAGTTTCTACCCACTTCTTATTGTCTCTTTAGACTATGCAATCAATACTCCTGACGTGCTTGATATATTGAATTGAAAAAATGTGTGATTGAGATAAAAGGAGGGGGAAAAAGTCATTCGTCAAATCTTCTGATACTTTTGTTGTGAATTGAAGGCGATGAATCTCGTTAAACAAAAAATAGAACTGCATCATAGCTTTAACGAGCGAAGAAATATGTTCGTTGACCGTAAAAATTATCCTAACTAATATAAGTTAGATGTGAAAAGTTTAATTCACACTAAATATGATTCTAGAGTATTTCCCGAGAAGCATGCTTGTACCTCGTGAAATTTTACTATTAAAAAATGCTAGATTTACGCTCCAAGCATTCATTATCCTTGATATTTGATGCGTTGTTGAAAAAAAATTGAAGGGAAGATTGTTTAATTTTGTTAACTGTTCAATAATGTGTTACCACGTGATAAAGTGTAAAAAATAATATAAATGATGATTTAGATGAAGAGAAATGCTATTCATCCCCACTGGAAAATTGGGGATGCATCTACAATTTATGTGGCGTTAATGTGACATTAAATGATAGGTGAAATTAAGGGCTTGTGTGGGAGAGATTAAAANTGCTCAAACAGGTATGTAGGAAAATTATTATATTACTGTGCTGCTCCTTTTCAATTCTATTCAATACTTAACAATTTATGTATTATATTATAATAACTTAATTCATTAATCTGGGAGTAATGCTATGTAACCTCATAGGAGTTACAACTCCAGTCTAGTGGCATTAAATAATAGGATCTATCATTTAATGATACATTAACACCACATATTATAATTTTATTGGGGTTAAATAACATTACTCTTAGAGCTTGTTTGGTAGAGATTTTTTGGGGGAAGAATTAATTTTGAATAGTGATATGATGGGAAATGTGTGGTTGAAAAAAAAAGAAAAAATTATTGATGTGATGGAAAATATTATTTTATTGAAAAATGTGTGGTTGAAAATGAGAATTGATTTACTGTAGAAAATCAAAATCCATACCAAGCATGCCTTTAGATGAAACATGATTGCTTACTATTTCGTAACGTCTATTTTTCGTATTCTTTAACGGTCTAAATTCTAATCACTTTTTTCAACGGTCATGAGAAAACCGCCGGGACCACTTCCACCACATTTTTTTTTTTAACTTATTTTCATAACTGCTTTATTTCTTTTTGGACATTTTAGTGATTGTTACTTATCTCCAATTATAATAAAAAATTCTATGACATGATTGATCAAGATTAAATAACAAAAGAAAATACAATATACTTTAATCATTTTAATCATTCTATTCAATTTTCATTATTGGATTGAACAAATTACGAGACAAAATTTCTGAAGAAAAAATTATAATTTATCTATTATTCAGTACGATAACGTTTACCACTATGCATTCATTGAATTCTTGATCCACTTGGACGACAATTCTACTCTTTTTTATTTTCATTTCTTACTCGAGTATTATACATAAAGAATTCGGGATTGGGACTTTTCAAATGCCTACTCGAGCAACGCTTGAACTCATTCTTTTAATACGGGGATGGAGTTTTCTTTTCTCTCTCTTTTTTTTTTTTTTTTGGCAAGTTCTAAATAACCAGTTTGCCATTATCTAACTCGTGCATGGTCTTCTTTGTTTATTTATTAATTGAATTCACATAGATATTCACTTAAGAAGTTTTTATATTTTTCTTTATTATAATTTTTTCAATATATTGAGTAGGAAAATATGATAACCTATGAAGATTGATTAAAAAAATTTATAAATGATTTATAAATTCAATTAAAATCGAACAATAATTTTAATCGAACGTTCATAACTACTACTATTTTATTATTCACACATTTCGTTGGATCCACTATTATTCCTCTCTATAAATGATTTATATATTTGACAAACAAAGGCTAAATCTTTTTGTTGGAGTGCTTTGCTCATATTCTTAATTTTTTTATTAGTATTTATATTGCCAAAAATAAGCAAGAAAATAAAGTGAACAAAACAAACACTACGCCAAAAAACATCATTTGCAACATTAAAAAGGCAACATTTGTTGATAAATGTTGCTAAAAAGGTGTTTTGACAACATTTTAGTAAGTGAATGTTGCCATTGGTTAATATAAATGAGTTTTGACAACGTTTTTAAAAAAAATGTTGCAGTAGACCACTTTTCGCAACGTTTTTTGAGTGTTGCAGTAAATGATTTATAAATTCAATTAAAAATATTAATTTTTACTTTTTGTATTCTCTCTTTGTAAAATTGCCAATTTTGAATTTTAAAATGCAAAAAAAAAGGTGGAATAGTGGGGGTGGCCCTGCAAAAAGATAAAGACAGCAAATCTTACTGGCTACTATTTGTCTTTTTTTGGCACTTTCCAGAAACCTCCCAATTGGTATACCCCAAACTTCTACTAACTTATCACTTCCACTCCCATATTTTCTGATATACTACATTGCCCTCCTACAAAAAATTCAAGATTTTCATTTTTGCCCTTTACATTTTGATAGTGGGATTTCATTGCTAGTTGTTAAGTTCACCTTTATCTTTACAGAAAAAAAAAAAAAAAAAAANNNNAAAAAAAAAAAAAAAAAAAAGGATGTTTCCATAATTAAATGAATTAAGTTAGATGAACGTTCCAGCTTACACCTTAGATGACTTTCTCCCTTATGTAAAGGAAATTTGTGCTGTGATGTGATATGATGAATAAGTTGGAAATTAAGAATGTAGTATTGTCACGTGAAAGAGTGTAAAGAAGAGTGTACCTGTAGCATGATTGTAATAAAATTATAATTTTTTTTTCAAAATTTTCAAACGAAAATAAGATTGTGAAAAGACTAAAACGTAATTAACTGTCAACGAGTCTATACTCTAAAATTTAGATACAAAAGCATAATTCTTGATTTTAAATATAATTTGAATTTCAAGTTATAACATTGTGTAGAGTTTTTATAGTTCATTAATGTAAGAAACACAAACTAATTGAATAAGAATCCAAAAATATAGATGCCATGAGTAAGAATTGCAATCAGAAAATAGTAACATAATTTTTGAAATTAATTGTTCATTGTTCGGTTCTTTTATTTATATGGATATTTTGTTTGTTGCTAATGATAAAATTTGAGTCAATACGTTATATGAATTTTGTAATTCATTATATAATCAATACTCTTCATAGTATCATGTCTACGGAATTAGTTAATATATGAATTAACGACGATCAAATTTGCAATAATTCATTTCAAAAACTGTTTAATTTTTAAATATAGGATAATTTTCTTTTTTATATTATTATTATGCGCACACAAATGTTGCCTTAATCCTAAAATATAAATCCAAAATTCAACAAGAAAAAAGGTAGAAGGGTGTTAGAGAAATACATGACAAAACTCAAGGGCAAAAAATAATATCCAAAACTTTCAAGAATAGCCAGTTATCAATATCCCTCCTATATAAATCACCCTTACACTAACAAAACACGCATTATCCTTACCTATCTTTCTAGCGTTTTTGCAGAGTTATAGAGAGAGAAAGCAAGAGTTGTGGCGAGAAATGGAGGGGAAAGAGGAGGATGTGAGGCTAGGAGCCAACAAGTTCACAGAGAGGCAACCATTGGGTACTTCAGCACAGAGCAAGGACTACAAGGAGCTACCACCAGCTCCACTTTTTGAGCCTGGTGAACTCCAATCATGGTCCTTTTGGAGAGCTGGGATTGCTGAGTTTATGGCTACTTTCTTGTTCCTTTATATCACAATCTTGACTGTAATGGGTGTGAGCAGGTCTGGCAGCAAGTGTGCTTCTGTGGGTATTCAGGGCATAGCTTGGGCCTTTGGTGGCATGATTTTTGCCCTCGTCTACTGCACTGCTGGCATCTCAGGTCCCTTTGTCTCTTTAATATCTCTGTGTTATTGCGTTCTATATTCTGTTGCTTAAGTAAATTTACAGTCTTTTGTGTTTGGTATCACTTTGATTTGCAGTATTTGACGGTACTATTCATGAACAATATGTTATCTCCTGAACATGTCAAGAATGTACTAATACACTAGTTTTGAGTCCTCATTTTCATGGGATCTTGGAAAATGTAAAATATGAAGCTTATTTTAGTGTTCTATATTTTCTTTGGTAAATACAGAGTTATGCTGTGTTTGGTATGGAGTATTGGATGGAACTGAACAGTATAATGAACAAGGTTTTATCTTCTAATATACCAAGTAATTATACTAGATCTGACTCCTCATTTTCGGGGGATCTTGGAAAAAATGTTGAGTATGAAGCTTCTGTTTGTGTTCTGTAATCTGTTGCTGAAGTAAATCTCGAGTAATGAACAAGATTTTATTTTCGAACAAGCCACAAATGTACTAGTACTACTAGTTTTAACTTTTGAGTCCTCATTTTCATGGGATTTTGGAAAATGAAAGTATGCAGCTTCTTCTGTTTATTGCTTTTTTCAACAGTCAAATTTGAGGGTTTTTGTGTGTGTGTGTGTGTGCGTGGAATTCACTGTTGTTTTACAGGTTTTAAACCTTGAATGTGATCTTGTAATGTAGTTCAAACCCGCTTTTTCTCTTCAAAATCTGCAAACTCTGTGTGTTAGCAGAGCAGCTTTTTAATGTAATGGGATGTAGGGTTTTGTGATGACAAATCTTTATTGTGATTGTTGCAAAATGAATAGTAAATTTTGTGGTTTTAGATATAATTTTAATTTTATGCACTCAAAAAATCTTGCTCCAATTAGGTAAATGAAAGGAGGTAAACATCAAAAGAAAAGAGCCAAATCTTTGATTTGATTTGTGGAAAAGAACTTAAAATAAGTGATAGTGATGACTAATGCCCCTTGTTTGAAAATTATTGAAGTTTTTCACGTACCGATTGGAATTTTTATGGGTAATTTCAGGTGGACACATAAATCCTGCAGTAACATTTGGTCTGTTTCTTGCAAGGAAATTGTCTCTAACCAGGGCAATTTTCTACATCGTGATGCAATGCCTCGGAGCAATCTGTGGTGCAGGTGTCGTAAAGGGCTTCCAGCCTTCTTTTTACAAGGCTAATGGTGGTGGTGCTAATGATGTTGCCCATGGTTACACCAAGGGCGATGGACTTGGTGCTGAGATTATTGGCACTTTTGTTCTTGTTTACACCGTCTTTTCTGCTACTGATGCCAAGAGAAATGCCAGAGACTCGCATGTCCCTGTAAGTATTTCTCTGTACTCTTATTTTTCTTACCTGTTTTGTACTCGTAGCATTTTTGTTTATTGATGACTCCTTTGATCTTCCAAATTTCACAGATTTTGGCTCCACTCCCAATTGGGTTTGCCGTCTTTTTGGTTCACTTGGCAACCATCCCCATCACCGGAACTGGCATCAACCCAGCCAGAAGCCTTGGAGCTGCCATCATTTACAACAAAGATCATGCTTGGGATGATCACGTAAGTTTACTCCAATAACTTCCATAGACAATCTTCATACCTGTTTGCGACATGATTTGGCACCTGCACTTACATATTTTGTTGCCCATGTCATTCTTCAGTGGATCTTCTGGGTGGGACCTTTTATTGGAGCTGCACTTGCTGCACTTTACCATCAGGTTATCATTCGAGCCATACCATTTAAGAGTGGCAGCTGAAGAGGATGCTTGTCTTTGCTTAGTTTTCGCCTTCATGGAGTTGATACCGAGTGCGAAAACCTGCAAATTCCGTCTTATTAGATTGTGTTTATTGTAGTCAGTATTTTCATTTGTGGATTTGAAGAGTTTTGAGGAAACAGTATGTTGGTTGTATGTAACAAATACTAGAAGAATTGGTTTGCAGTAATGTGTTCTGTGTTTTTTCTAAATGCTATTTACCCTATGTACCCCCAGGCACATAAACTCGAATTCCACCAGCTTAGGCATGACGACCTAGCCATCGATCTCTTGCCTAGGCTGTCTCGTCACCTTGCTTGCACACGTTTGTAAGGATTTTCTTTGTATATCAGCTCGTCGTTTCTGTTCTTGTCATGGAAGCCCTTTTTACCCTTTTTTAACACGATGAATAATGACATACTTTATTTCTCGACCTCAAATACATGCTCTCGATTGTGTTTCGAGGAAAGATTTAATTTTACTCAATTCACAGTACTTTAATTTGACTAAAAATTAATGAAAGTAAAAATTAATGAAAGTAAAAATTAATTTGCATCATTCCTGCACATTTTCTTTACCATTTTTAAGCCTTTTTTTGTTTGCGATTTTTCAAAACAGTGAAATCATATTTTTGAAAACAAGCAAAAGTGTTTTCATTCATAATCAAGTTAAAATTTTCAAAACGCGTTTTAGGTATTTTCAAAACAATTTTTCAAAATGCAAAAAAAAAATAAAAATACATTTTCAACAATCTCAAAATGAACACTGAATTTAAAACTCAAAATACAAAACTGAAACACAAAGAGAACAGCCCCTCAACGTCTGCAAAAAACCGAACTTTTGAAACGTAAGAATATTGTAATAACTATTCTACGATGGCATGTTGTTTAAAGATGAACTACGCTGTTTCGTGTGAAAGAACAATCTCTGTTGTTTATGTATCGAAATGAATCTAGAGTGATCAATTAGAATATTTGAAAAGAAAAAGAAATAGTCTTCGAATCTTCCTGAGGTTAAAGCTCGTCATTTCTTTCGTCCTTCTTAGAACCGGCATCATCATCAGATTTGCTCTTTTCAGCACGAAGCTTCTCAAAAATTTCTTCGAAAGGAGGATCCCCTTCTCGTCTAAACAGTTGATCCCCGATTTTTATCTCATATGCTTCTGGTTGACTCAATAAGAATTCTTTTAACTGCACAAATTGTTTAAGTAAGACATTGTTGAAAGGTTAAAAACAGAACATACCATCAATATCTACTGCAAATTTAAATACAAGAAGTTTAAATATAATGAGGTTCATCTGAAACTCTATGCCACTTGTTTTCAAAGTATTCAGATTAAATCTAAATGTAGTAAAGAAAACAAGCAAAGTGATGAACACGATATCGAATATTTCTTTCATAGACGAGTTTGTTTAATTTCAAGATACGGTGGAAAATAAATGCAGGAAAAGGGCTGCCTTATATGAAGAGCAATCAACTGAAAACATGAATTTATTTCTAAACTCTACAACCCGACTGCGTCATTGACTCCCAAAAGGTCAAGAGTCAAGGATCGAACCGGAGGACAATGTTAACAACGTAGCATAACGTATGTCAAGGAGAAGTCGATCCTTAAAAACTTTTTAAAAATGAAAATATGAAACTATATGGCCAGTGCATCCAGTTCTTAGTCGAACTGACTAACTGACCAGATTTTTAACTACCAAGTTGGAAAGGTGTAATCAAAATATTTAAAAGGCCTACACAAATTCACGAACCATTAGCAAGCAAAATCTTTAAGAGCGCAAGAAGCCCTACTCCAGAAATAAAACGAACCTCGATAGTGTCTTGACCTTTTTCCATGGAGAACATAATTGTACTCAGATCGACCCCCATGAACTTCGCCTCAATTGCTCCAGTTCTTGCAACATTGGTCCACTTCATAGCAATTTCTGATACGATGTCCTAACATAAAAAAATGCAGATCAAATTCTCCACCATTGGGCAGAAAACGTGGATTCTTTCAGCTCAAATAAAGTATCAGAATGCCAAAAGATCCCAAATTCATCTGACAATTATATTTCACATTGATCATTAATGTAGATCTTGGGGTCTTCAGAATTAGAATTAGAATTAGAAATATTTCCATTCAAATCAATTAACTTTTCTCAGCACTGATCCATCTCATAGCAATTGCAGATACGATGTCCTGTCATATGGAGATTCGGCAGCAAAACAGGGATTATTTCTGCTAAAATAAAGTATCAGAATGCCAAAAGACGCCCAATTTGTCTTTCATTTCTATTCAAATTGATAATTACTGTAGAGGTTGGCAGCTTCAGAATTCGAATTAGAAATATTTCCATTCAAATGAATCTATTTTTCACAAATTCCCATTTTAAAACCTAATTTGAAGCTGCTTATGTACCCAATTTCTGCAAACCCTAGCTCAGAACCCAAAAATTCAAAACAAAAATAAAAAATTCCACGAATCACACTCCGAACAGAACACAAATTCCATTCCAGTAAATAAAAATGCTCTAAAAATACCTCAAATTAAGTTAATCATTAGTAGTAAAAACTCACCTTTCCCCGGCCAGTGCCGGGTCGGAGCTTGACGAACCCAAAGACGGGTCCGAACTGGCGTTTCATCATTTCATGCTGGATTTCGGAGATTCTCATTTTGTCAAAATCAGGAGGCGGATCGAAGTCAGGTTTCTTCTTATTCTTGCCCCATTCTCTCCATGCCTCGTCCTCCTCGTCGTCAACAACGTCGTCTAGATCGTCGGAAATGTGGATCCGCCGCTTCGCTGCGTCGGCAAATCTGTAAAATGTGCATGCTTGGATGGCGATTAGGAGCAGGAGGAGGAGGCAAACGGAGCTTGGCTTCATCTTCGTTGTGGACATCAATGGAGTTTGGCTACTAGTAGTTTGATCATTCTGTGCACATGCCTTTTATTTCACTTTAATTATTGAATTAATTTACTTGTACAATTTTGGATCACAAGGACGAACAATCTGACACAAGTTGTAAATGTAGCATTGATGTTAATTATTTGCTAACTCTGACTATAAATTAGGCTGTCACGCCTCGTTTTTGATGTTAGCTCGACTACTAATTAGTTAAGGATGGCAACAAAGCAACATGGATGGGAGGCGTAGTGTCGCGGATTGCAACTTTACTTAAGTCTCGTGATCTTATCGCAACTGCAGTTGCTGCAGTTTGCCCAACTTTGATCGTACATTGTAAATATTTCATTTAATTGTAAAATAGTTGAAAATTAGAAAAGTTTTGTATGATTCCTCAACTTTTAAACGTCTACTCACTTCATTCGGGTTTTTGTTGTTAAGTCTATTATAGGGGTATTAGTCTTTCAAATATATTTTAAGTTTTCTAGTGTTCGCCCCTTGCACCAGCCATTTTAATTTCCTACTTTCGTCTATTGTAATGTTCAGTTTTCAAACAATCAATGATCAAGTTTATTTCAATGCATTTCAATTTCATGTTGTAAGCTTTCTTTAAATTGTGATCAATTCTACTTTTGTCCCGAGACGGACCGAGAAAAGGCGGAAGGTAGTCTAGCGGAGCAGACTATTGCCGCACGGTGTCCCTTTCTGTGCTAAGANGGAGATTCTCATTTTGTCAAAATCAGGAGGCGGATCGAAGTCAGGTTTCTTCTTATTCTTGCCCCATTCTCTCCATGCCTCGTCCTCCTCGTCGTCAACAACGTCGTCTAGATCGTCGGAAATGTGGATCCGCCGCTTCGCTGCGTCGGCAAATCTGTAAAATGTGCATGCTTGGATGGCGATTAGGAGCAGGAGGAGGAGGCAAACGGAGCTTGGCTTCATCTTCGTTGTGGACATCAATGGAGTTTGGCTACTAGTAGTTTGATCATTCTGTGCACATGCCTTTTATTTCACTTTAATTATTGAATTAATTTACTTGTACAATTTTGGATCACAAGGACGAACAATCTGACACAAGTTGTAAATGTAGCATTGATGTTAATTATTTGCTAACTCAGACTATAAATTAGGCTGTCACGCCTCGTTTTTGATGTTAGCTCGACTACTAATTAGTTAAGGATGGCAACAAAGCAACATGGATGGGAGGCGTAGTGTCTCGGACTGCAACTTTACTTAAGTCTCGTGATCTTATCGCAACTGCAGTTGCTGCAGTTTGCCCAACTTTGATCGTACATTGCAAATATTTCATTTAATTGTAAAATAGTTGAAAATTAGAAAAATTTTGTATGATTCCTCAACTTTTAAACGTCTACTCACTTCATTCGGGTTTTTGTTGTTAAGTCTATTATAGGGGTATTAGTCTTTCAAATATATTTTAAGTTTTCTAGTGTTCGCCCCTTGCACCAGCCATTTTAATTTCCTACTTTCGTCTATTGTAATGTTCAGTTTTCAAACAATCAATGATCAAGTTTATTTCAATGCATTTCAATTTCATGTTGTAAGCTTTCTTTAAATTGTGATCAATTTTACTTTCTTCTCGAAACGACCGAGAGAAGGCGAAAGGTAATATAGTGAAGCAAACTACTGCCGCACGGTGTCTATTTCTGTGCTAAGAAGAAAGGTAACCCGTGAAAGTTGAGATCAGAGCTGCGGCTCAAGACCTTCGATAAGAAAGATATGGATCCAATGAAATCGAACACCACGGAGGTGGTAGATTCTCAAAAGAGGAACACGAAACAGCGTTTGGAGGTGCTTGAGGTGACAAACACTAGGTTGTGCTTTGCCATGGAGGGCCTCGGAGAAAAGGTCGAGGTGGCAGAGATAGAAACTCGAGAATTACGCATCCAACTAGATGAATGCCAAGAAGCTTGCGCAGCTATGACGGAAGCTGTTGCTATCATACATGATCTGCAGGATGAGGTGGGAGCGTTGAGAGCTCAATTGCTAGTTCTCCAACGCACGGTTGGCAATGGGCAAGCCACCGCACAAGAGCATGTGTATAGGCTCAGAATTCCAGATCCGTATACCTACGGAGGGGCACACGATGCTAAAGAAGTTGAGAACTTCTTGTTCAACATGGAACAATACTTTCTTGCGACTTCGATCCAAGACGAAGCGAGAAATGTTACAACAGCTACCATGTATCTAGGTGGAGATGCATAGATATGGTGGCGCACGAAGTATGCTGATATTCAGGCCGACATGGTCCAAATAGATTATTGGGATCTTCTCAAGGAAGCAATCTGATCTCAGTTTTTTCAGAGAAGGTGGAATACGAGTCACGTCGGGCCTTACGAAGACTGAAACATATAAGCTCCATCAGGGAGTATGTAAAAGTCTTTTCAAGACATATGCTGAATATTCGAGATATGTCGAAAAAGGATAAGATGTTCACCTTCATGGAAGGGTTGAAACCTTGGACACACACGGAATTTCAAAGACAGAAGGTCACTGATTTAAGCGCAGCTATGGGAGCTGCCGAATGTTTGAGTGACTATCAACCAGAATCGAGAGAGGATCGACCTTCGGGAAATAGTCAGTCTATTGGAGGTGGAAATAGACCTTATAGACCTAACTCGAGCTCAAATAGGGGAGAGCATTACTCTGAGAATCGGGGAGGAGCCTATCAAGGCAACTGTCAAGGTAACAACTGGAACTAAGGAAAAGCAAAGGAGGGCAGATTTAATGACAGTCCTAAATTGAAGTGCTTTTTATGTGAAGGACCCCATCGAGTGGCGGAGTGTCCTCAGAAACGGATGGTGAATGCATATTGCCAACTAGCAGGTGGCGGGACCAAATCAAAGCAAGGTACCCAACAAGCTAGCTGTCATGGCGAGACCAACTCCGAAGAAGATAAGGATGTAATCGGTGCATTCTCACATCAGTACAATACACTATTGTACCGAGTTGCCAAAAGGAAAGGTGGTCCCTCAAAAGAGCCGAAGATGGAAGAATCGAAGGCTCATATTTGTAGGGCGAAAGACTTGATGTACATTGATGTAAAGATCAATGGAAAGCCAATCAGGGTTATGATAGACACTGGTGCTACCCACAACTACGTTGCAAGTACTGAAGTAGAGCGGCTTGAACTTACTCTAGGAGAAGGTAAAGAAAATGTTAAAGCAATCAACTTCGCTGCTCAACCAATAGAGGGAGTAGCGAAATCCGTGTCGATCAAAGTAGGTCCTTTCGAGGGAATGATGAATTTGTGGTAGTTCAGATGGATGATTTCAAACTCATTTTAGGATTGGAATTTCTTCGGGATATGAGAACAGCAGTGTTGCCGCATTCCGACTCGTTAATAATGATGAGTAGCAAACCATGCATTATCCCCACACAAATTGTGAAAGCAGGCGAGAAGTGTATTTCGGCATGCAATATAGTAAGGGTTTCAAGAGGAATGAACCCTCATTTTTGTGCACTCTTCGATTGTAAGAGATTCAAAATGTGACTGGTCCAATTCCTAAACCTGTCAGAAGGCTTGTTAAGGAATTTGAGGACATCAAGCCGAATGAGTTACCAAAGAAATTGCCACCAAGGAGAACAATTGATTGTGAGATTGAACTTGTTCCTGATGCCACACCTCCCACCAGGGCACCGTACCATATGCTCAGCCGGAGCTTGAAGAGCCTCGGAAACAATTGGGAGAAATGTTGGGAAATGACACTACTGTGGAGCGCACTTCCGCATTACTACAACGTGCATGCTACTGGCCTCAAAGGCGAGACGACAATTCAAGTTATGTGAAAACTTGTCTTGGTTGTTCGTAAGATATGACGAATCATCAGAAAAAGGCAGGCTTACTGGAGCCCCTTTCCGTCCCAAACAGACCATTTAAGAGTGTCGATGGACTACATTAGTGGATTGCCAAAAGTTGGAGACTTTGGCACTATCATCGTAGTGATGGATGGCTTATCTAAAGAGACAACTTTCACCACAGCGCCCAAGTATGTATCAGCTGAAGAGACAGCTCAACTTTTCTTCAAACATATTGCTAAATACTAGGGACTGCCTAAGAACATCGTCGGTGATCGGGATTCTCGGTTTACTGGCATACTTTGGACCGAGTTGTTCAAACTTCTTGGTTCAACTTTGAGCATGGCTTTGAGTTTTCATCCACAAATTGACGGACAGAAGGAACGTTTCAATGCTATGCTGGAAAAACTATTTTCGATACTTTATCTCTGCTTCACATAAAATTTGGGTAAAACTCCTGGATGCGGCACGAATGTGTTTCAATGCTCAAAAGAGCTCTTCTTCCAATAAGAGTTCCTTGGAGATTTCTGCTGGCCAGCAACCGTTACTCCCTCGTACTAAAAAGATTCTTGGCCATCGAACTCCTCAAACTTCTAGGAACTACCTTCAAGAGTACTATGCAAATGGAACAAACCTTGAAACCATCAAGCGTATTATTCATTTAAAGGCTCCGAGGACGTCGCCAAAACAAATGGGGGAGAATGTCACGGACTGCAACTTTACTTAAGCCCCGTGACCCTATCGCAGCTGCAATTTGCCCAATTTCGACCGCACATTGTAAATATTTCATTTAATTGTAAAATAGTTGGAAATTAGAAAAGTTTTGTATGATTCATCGGCTTTTAAAAGGCTACTCCCGTCATTGGAGTTTTTGTTGCAAAGTCTATTATAAGGATATTAGTCTTTCAAACACATTTCAATCTTTCTAGTGTTCGCCCTCTGCACTAGCCATTGTAATTTTCTGCTTTCGTCTATTGTAATATTCAGCTTTCAAGCAATCAATGATCAAATTTATTTCAATGCATTTGAATTTCATGTCGTAAGCTTTCTTTAAATTGTGATCAATTTTACTTTCGTCTCGAAAAGATCAAGAGAAGGCTTAAGGTAGTCTAACGGAGCAGACTAGTGTCGCATGGGTGTTTCTTTCTGTGCTAAGAAGAAAGGTAACT